TATTAACTTTCGAATTATCCATAACGCCTGATGCATTAAAATTATATGTAAGTTCTGATCTTATTAAAAAATTAAGGATTAAGGAAATTCATTCAGGATTTTTCTTATTATTTCGAATCAGAATTTATGATGTTGATTTTGTTTTAATCAAAGCCTAAAGAACATTTTGCCTCAGATTATTAGATTCATAAAGTACACGTTATTTCTTCTATTTTTTTTTACATAAATAGAGATCATATCATCATCTCTTCCGTAATATTTCCGAACAAATAATTTTGAAAATATAGAAAATATTTTCAAAACTAATTGCAAAATTCATTTTCTGATGTAACAAATAAATTATACGCAAGAAATGTGTATTGCTACCAAATGCAATTTACCAAAGACAAAATTTATTGAACATAAATCACTGATAGATTGATTTAAACCACAAAAGGTTTTCTAAAAGAATGATTTGATCTTGTGCAATACCTGAATGGTTACGCAAATTATTATAATACGGCGTGCATTATGAAATTTTATGAAAATAACGTCTTTTTTGCTGTGGGTCATTACATTAGAAATATGAAAAAAACATAAATAAATCACAAGATCTGTTTAGATTGTGCTCTTTGTTTATCTTGAATGTGAGGCCTTGGTCTGTGTATAATTATATAGGTGTCATTATGAGCTAATTGCATACAAAAAGGTGAACAATTATAGTAAAGAAATTAATATAGCATATAAAACGACAATAAAATAGATGTAGATATTGCAATTATTAATAATTGCCCTACGACATCCAGTGTGTTGTTTAATATCACATAGTAAATTGTTATTGTGGTTTTAGTTATTTAGTTATTTAGAAATGTAATTTTGTTTATCAATACATTTTCATTAATTACAATTGAAAAATCCAAAATCAAAATTGGATGGCTTGCTAGCTTGTATAGCAGTGTCCGGCGGAAAACATTTCCGTAACAAAAGGATTAAAATATAAACAAATAACGGATTAAATATAGATTTCTAGAGAAAATAAATAAACTTTGATAATATTTTCAATGTTTTGAATAGCAATCAGAATTTAAGAGTCCTATATGATGTTTGGCTAATTTAACTTAACACTACGTCGATTTTATAGATGGCAACCCAAACAATTTCTGTAATCGGGCAAATATTTTATTGGTGCAGCAATGCCAGATGAGAGAAATATATTGCTATTTATATTACGAAAGGAAAACGAATGTCACTACTGCTTGACATCAAACTCCTTGAAAAAGGACCGCAACTGGTATCTCTGATTCAGGTCGCTCTAGCCACTTACACACAAGCAAGCGAACAGTTATGTAAAATTTTGTTGTATTGCAAATTACATTAAATTTATTTTGTGTCAAATGTAACTATTGTTGAATAAATATAAAGACCATCAAGATTTCCATATCCTTTTTGCACATTTCTGGCCATGAACCGCAATTTGCTGTGCCAATTATCGTCCTATTGACGTTTCTGACTAATATGAAATTCACACTCGAAGCATCTCAAATATGATGTCAGTCTCTCTGATGTCAATCCAAGACGAATCGTTGTCAAATAGAATGAATACCTTGAATATTTTCAAATCACGTTATAAAGGTGCGGCTAAGTAACCTAATCGTAGAATTGGCAAACACTTTTTGCGGCTCTATACTTGCAGTTACAGAGTCAGTGACACTAAACTGGTTTTTCAAGCCTTAACTAACCATTTCGAAATTTATCCCTGAGATAATGTAGCATATCTGTCCTTTCTTTTTATTTTATAAAAAACTTTTTAATTGTTTTATGGGTATAAAATTAATTATACTAATACTATCGCATTTAATTTACTAAACACTTTATCATTTACTCTCATCAGACATTGACTAATACGAAAAGAGCTTTAAGCTCGGAATTTCAAAAATCGTTGTTAAATATAATTGGCTTCAGCTCGTACTACAGGAATGATATGAAATTTTAAGTATGTAAAAACCAATATATGGTAAAATAATTAAAAGAATAGAATATAAAATGTGAATGTTAAATATAATTAGCTAAAATATATATCGAAGAAAATAAAAAATTAATAAAAATAAAATAGTAAGTATATGTTACTATCAATAGCAACACTAACGTTTGGAGTGACTTAATTCCTTTACTTTCTATTTTTAATGTCAAATTGTACTCATGAATAAAAAATAGACCCAAAAATATTCAAGTTCATGACTTCAATTCATCTTATTAATTTTTTGTGAATTGTTCTTTATCATTGAGCCAAAATACAATGACTGTTTTTCATCTGTCTGCCTGTCTGTCTGATGAATCCGTTTTTTTCTCGTTTACATGGATTACTACAATATATCAAATCAATGAGATTATATTTCAGATTTGTATTCTAAATTTTGTATCAGATAACCACTTATAGTAATCAGTAGTATTGTTCTATTAATATATTCTTGAAAATATAGATCAGAAAATGATCACAATGGACTAGGGAGATGAAGGAGTCATTGATTTGAAGTGTTCTCACACCATAGGCACGTCTTCGTGTAGACTGCCATTTATTTTTATGTTTATAAGTAAAAAAGGCTCTTCTTGGCTTTGCTAAACAAAATAAAAGTGTATCATCATTATTTTAGAAGACAACTATTAGTTTACGTTCTAATATAAAAAAGCATCAAAATAGAGAGAATCACCACAACAAAACAATAAAAACAATATATTTTGAATTATTGATATAATGGAATTAATTAATGGAGTTAATATAATAGAACAACAATCATGATACCCTTCTACGATAAAATTATTTTAATTTTAATATGATGCAAATTGATGTTTTTTTGATACAAACTTAAATGAGCAATGTTTTCCCAACCAGTTTTTACAATGATCAAGACAACAATTCAGCAGCCACATTACACCATAAAAATTGTTACACATTATGGAAGCTTGAATATTTATTTGATATTAATTTTATAATTTTTAACGACTTTCAAATATTACTAAAAACACTTAATTTGTTTACATAAAATTATACTTTGTATCTAAACTTTGTCTTATGAACAATGTAATGTGGTTGCTGAATTGTTGTCTTCATCATTGTAAAAAATTACACCTGGTGTTAGTTGAAACAAAACCTTTGGGCTATTTTTAACATACAAAAATTATATACAGATTCAAGTAATGGAAATTGAACGAAATGAATAGTTTGTATGATGTGAGCACATGTAAATTGTGTTACAGGAGACACTATATTTTTTAATTGTGTTAAGATATTAATTGTAGTTTACGATGATTTATGATAATAAATTATATCACGGAGGAGACATTATGCATTTAATTTGTTCGAATTATAGTTTGCATTGATGTGTAAAAAGAATTACTTAGAAACTAGTCAATTTTCTTAAAAACGAGTAAAAAATGAATTATCAGAAGCAGTTTTGGCGGTACTACTAGCTTTGGTAGCTGGTACATTTAGCCCCAAATACGGGATAAATTGTAACACCGGACTTTTTCTAGTAATTTATCAATTGCGAAATAATGAACTTCAATCAAAGAATTATTTTTACTTGATTCGGTGAAGGAACAGTTACAGTAGATCTCAAAATATAGTAATTGAAAAAAACTGTTGCAACAAGCCTCTGGATTCCTATACAAATAAGCTAAATATTTAATGTCAAAAAGCCATGTAATTTATTAAAATAAAATATAATCACCGAAAAAATCTTAGACGGCAGCACCTTTCACCAAGCCTTTTTTAACTTCCCGTAGGGCAAGTTATAGTAATCGCAAAAAATCGAAAATAAATTTTTGTTATATATCTCTACGTTTCAGAGGTTTCTGAACATTTTGGCATACCTTAGAAAAAATTATGTATGTGTGTGTGTCCGTGTGTGTGTGCAGATACAAATTTTTGTCGACCATTTCGGAAACACCAATCAACCGATTTGAATAATTCAAAAAACATTCGATTCGTATTGATAAGAAGACGCGTTGATTAGCTTTTGGCAAAGGCAGGTCTAGCCGTTCCGAAAATACGGGACAAAAAGTGCCGAAAACGGTAACTCAGTTTTTAAGAGAACGGAGCGTCCCATTTGAATGATTCAAAAAACATTTTTTTATATTGACCAACTGAAGAACTGATTGAATTTTTAGAGAGGCAACGGTTTCGAAAATATTGAGGAAAAATTAAAAAAGTGAGCCATTTGGCGGTAAAAAATGAACATTAGACATATGCACATCAAATTATCAGATATTTTATATGGATTTTAACAAAAAGTATAAATTTTGTTTATATTCCTATGGGTTCCGTACCAATGTTTATCCGTTAGACGGCGACGAGGCGCTTACGCGGTTTGACATTTCGTCTCTATGCAGTTAATGCAGTACGATTGCTGTGAAAAAAAGTTCAGAATTTCCAACTTATGTCAAAATAAAGAAAACATTTTTGTTTCAAAAAAAAAAAAAAAAAAAATGATTAAAAAAAAAGAAATTTTTGTCAAATTTATAGTTTCTCAAAAATCTAATTATTTCGAAGTAATTTTTTTTCAAAAATGTTAATCGTTTTTAAAAAAATAATAAATTTGGTACGGACAGATCGAGCAATTTGCCTTAAGGCACGATGCCATGCGCCCCACTAATTTTCATTTATATTTTTATTCCTTACTTCATTTTGGAATTTTCTTTTAGTTTCTTAATTTTTGTTACTTATTATGTATATTGTATATTTTATTTGAAAGTTTTTTTTATTACTTAAGCAAATTCTTGATTGATAAAATAATAAATAAAAAAAAGAAAAATAATTTGTTGAACAACAATTTTAAAATGCATGTTATTGAAATTGAAAATTAATTATAAGTGTTTGTATGATAATGAACAAAGACATAGCAAGCATTAAAGCTGCATATTAATGAAACGAGTGTTTTATTGACCAGTCCCCAGTAAAAATGCGTGAAGAGCATCCTACCTGTTGCTCTCGGAATGCGTACGAGTACGTCTCATTGAGCAAATATCTACTCATTCGTTCCAGAGTCTCACACGCATTCGCAGTAAGCAAACTGGAATCGCAATTACTCCACCGGTATCGCTTTATCCGTCGCGTCGTCTCGAAGCTTTTTGAAGGACGCGTCTCGTAGCCGCAATCAAAAGGCGCGATATATAACCGATATCGCATTCGTTAACCCGCTTAGTCCAAAAGCGCACGGCGGAACGCGCGCCATGTCCCTGCCGAAGACTTCGTCAACACTTCTACTAACATTCTTCTTAGTCACCGCCAAAGCGACTTTCACTTTCCACAATGTTTGCACCACCGATGCCGTTCAGAATTCGACCAGGAATGACGTGCGCGCGAATGGATTTGAAGCGCGGCAAAATGTTAGTGTTGCAAATGTTGCTGTTGAACAAGTGCCGATTTTCGATGTGCTCGACCTGTGGGCGAGTTATCCGAAAGTGATAGTGCCGACCGAAAGTGAAAATGTTAAGTGCAAGAGCCAGAGCGAGCGCTTCTTGCGCGCGCTGAGGCGACGGGAAATGTGGGCATTGAAAAGTGAGTGATTTTTGTGATAGAATGGATTAATGTGATATTCCATTGCCAAAAGTTGGATTAGTACAAAAATAATAGTTTTGACTTAGTACGACATTAATAATATTTATCAACCCTAATTGCAATAATTAGAAAATTGGTTTGGCCAGGATCATGCCAAATTCTGGCAGGGGTGGTAGGGGCTTGTTGTAACAATTTTTTAACATAACATTTTGAGAACCACTGATTTTATTTTTACGAAATAAAGATGAATAGATGCTGCAGCTAATTTTCGACCAAATCAAGTAAAATAATTCCATAACTATTATTATTTATTTCACAATTAATCATTTTCTAGAAAACGTGCGCCGATACAACTCACCCCGTGTTTGGGGCTAGTAGTAACATCTACCTTAGCGCAAGTAGAAGAATGACAATAATAGCTTCGATAATTTATTTTACCTCGGCTTTATTTGTAAGAAACCTTTGATGATTCATTTTTACCTTTGAATATATAATAACTTTGCCTACAAGAAAACTTTCATGTTGCTAAGTAATTCTTTTCATGATAAAACGTAAACTATGATTAATATACATAAAATATATATTGTCTCCTGTCAGAGAAATTCTTATTCTAAATCAACGTAAACTACAATTAATACAAATAAAAGATCTTGTGTCACAATTGTAAGTTTTCCATTTCGTACAAATTATACAATCTAATCATTTTCACTTGAATATGTATATAATTCTTGCTTGTTACAACAAGTCCTAAGCTTTTGTTACAATTAACTCCAGATTTGATTTTTTTACACATATCAATATAACTATTTAGAAAATTTGGCAATCACGAAGATTGGTACAAATTACTAAATATTGATAAATTTGAAAGAAACTAAGATACAAAAAATTTAAAATTAGTCGATGATAATAACGCAAACCAAAATTTTATGGTTATCTTGCAAAACTACATTATAATTTTATATTATGCACCTACACACTTTTGTATATTACGTCGGACTGAGGAACAGTACCTATGATAGCATAATACGGGAAAAAAGAAAAAAAAATATATTAACATCATTTAAAATCCTATTAACAAGGCCTTCTTTATTTTTACCCTCTTTAATCTTTACCCAGGGGCCCATAACCCCTGCTACAATAAGCCCCTAGCGCTCCTATATCCAAAATTAAAATTTTTTCAAATTTTTTCAGATTTCTATTCGAACTTCGGATATCCAACATTCATTTTTCAAACAATATAAATAAACGTGATATTCAACTGTAACTTATTTTTTATATATCCTCTAAATCATTGCTAAAATAAAGCATGGAAATTCTTGTTAATATTCGAAAATATACAATAATTCACTTTATTTTAAACAAATATTTATCAACTGCTCACAAATATATGAACAATTTTATATATGCAGTTTATAACACGCTTTGTTTAAATGGTCTAAATTATTTCAATAGTTAATTAGTCCAGTTTCAATTAATTAAAATACGGATAAATAAACATCGCAACCAAAGAAAAAAATCTTTCTATAAAACTACTGATCATAACTATTTATAACTTCTCAAAATTAATAAATATTAAAATTGAAAATATACGAATTTAAACATTAACGTCTGCTTGTCGGTGTACCAATAAAACGTAAGACCTGTTAAATTATTAACATTATATCTCTAATTAAATTCTTTAATTATATACGTACTCATAGTGTACAACAGTTCTCACAGTTTTGTAACTTATCTAATTATATCAGTTTCCTAAGGCATATATTATAAACCATTACCACAGACCATAAAAAATCATTACTAAGAATAATTTCAAGCAAGCAATAAAATTTAAATCACATGCCGTTTTATGTGTAAATAATCGAAACTAATTTGACCTCTAATAAATCAATTAACCCATTGTTTTCATAATAACTTAGAGCAATTAACAAGTCGTAATAACTCTAAAATTATCGACGAAAATAAACAAGTACGACATTGAATCAATGATGTAATGTGAGCGAAAGTAAACTGATACAGGTAGAATCCGATACTTTCATAATGCACCTGCAGCGGTACACTTTTAATTATTTTAGGTCAATGCATAATGTGTAGTATGTTTCTATTCGATGAAGCAATTAGATGGAGTTAACATTTGCTAAGTCTCTCTATTACCATATGTGTTAGAAATAATATAATGAAATATGTTAAGAAATGAATAATTTTTCAATGATATTTCATATGGTTTCGCATTTAAATGCTCAGTTATAATGAGTTTACTTCAGTAAAATTTACGATCTATTCTTAATTATGTTTTGCATAAATATGAATAGGAATTATGTTTTGCAATCACAGAAACTGAGCTGAATAAAATAAAGCAAATTTTAAAAGCTACAAAAGAAGTGAAGACATTTGAGCTAGTTTTCATTGGATGCTTATTTCAGAGAAATGATTTTCTATAAAATTATAATTATTTTTAAATATATTTACTAATTGTATATAATGCGAAATTGTATCCGGATTGGCAGAAAAGTGGCAACGAGCCGATATTGACCTGTATAAACTTTTTAATTTACAGTTTAAAATTAACTATACTTATTTTTATTAATTTTCACATATTGTATAAATATATATGTATCTTTTTATATTTTATACGAAGAAAATTTACTAGTTTGAAGTTATTGTGGAATTAACTTAATTTTACTTTGATCTATTCAGATTTAAACTTAGAGTGTGAATTTCAAATTTTGTTACTTTTCTTACCTTTAATATTATTAAATATTTTTCACAAGAATTTTCACTTTAATATGGTAAAAGATAATATTTTATAACCAAATTATTTCATAATGTTTTATTACGGATGTCTGCAATTTCAATTTGTTTTATTTGTTTTTAATTTATTTATATATTTTGCATTATTCTGAAATTTCCGTTATAAATAATTTTATGCATATTTTAGTACTTTAATTTTAAATCCGACGGAATCTTCACAACATTTATAGATGTAATAAAACTAAGAATAACATATTACAATATCATTTGCTTTCCATATTATCATTAAGAAATTAATATTAATTTTTGAATTTTGGTTTAAATTAATACATATTTTTTTAAATTCACCTACTGTCTTCAAATTCAGAATGAAAAATGTTAAAAATTGAGAATATATGAGAGAAAGATTTTTAAAATTATTAATGCATATGATTTTGAAACACAAAACTAGTTTGTAAACGATATATCATTTTTTCAACGGATTTGCTATTTTTTATATAGCAAAATAAATTCATTAAAATTTAGTAAGTCACGATCCTATTCTGAAATGTAAAATCGACACGAAAAATTTAAAATTAACAAAAATTACTAATTAATTTATAGAATATATCAAAACTTATATTTTTATTTGATCCTATTCAAAATTCACTATTCCAATAAACCGAAAAAAGAAAAATATTTTATGGACCGAGCAATTTTTCTATTAAGATCAAACATGTAAAAATAAAATTTATTTTTGATTAGCATATTTTAATAGGCAAAATAAATCAAATAAAACCTCAAAATATGAAATATAAGTAACTACTTAATGGTGATGATTTATATACTAATTAATACGTTTGCGGGCGTGAATGCTATAGCATTCATTTTTATTGGCATGCAGAATGATAGAGCAGCACAATTTTTGAGTCAATTATTTTGAATTTAATTTTATATCAATTAACCTTAAAAACCTTACGTCTTTGCAATTATCATACCTCTCAAGGTATTTAACAGATTCTTTAGGTATTTTTGTATTATCTTATCCGTTCCCGTAGTCACTAATTATCCTTGGCAAGCACATTGCGTAAAATAGAGGCTTAATACTTGACGTGGATGCTATAGCATTTATCGTAGATATTGATTGAATTGTGATCATCTGACTACTTTTATAAACGGCGTTTATAAGGGCAAAGAAAACGGTGTTTATAAGGGCAATCAAAACGGTGTTTATAAGGATTTTACTTAACCCTTATAAAATAAAGTAACTGCCAATTTTTGTACCTTGCTGCAACATTTACTGCCCAAAAACAAGTTAAATAAAAAATAAAACGTAAAAATAAAAGCACATTGCGTAAAATCGAAGCGTAATACTTGACGTGGATGCTATAGCATTTATCGTAGATATTGATTGTATTGTGATAATCTGACTACTTTTATAAACGGTGTTTATAAAGGCAATCAAAACGGTGTTTATAAGGGTTTTACTTAACCCTTTTAAAATAAAGTAACGACCAATTATTGTACCTTGCTGCAACTTTTACTGTCTGAGAACGTGTTAAGTAAAAAATAAAACGTAAAAACAAAAATAATTTTGATTAAATTTTGAATTTGATTTGTTCGATGCTAAAAGATATTTTTACCGACCTTCAAACCGGCCAAATAAAATAAAATTAAAATCCAATAATCGTCGGCAATGAACCATTATTATTCCCATATTTAATCGATTCAGGTTTTCAAATAGCAAGATCAAATCGACGTTGAAATTATTGTGAAATATTGAATATTATAGTGTTCGACTCGAGCGCTAAGTTGCCCGCGGGCCTGCTCAACGGTAATGTCAACCAGTATGGGGACTTCGATCAATGTCTCTCGATTTCGTCACAAGAAAATTCGGATATGGAGATAGTACAAGGCAAATATTGCTTATCAGAATTGGACATAAGATTGGCCACAGATCATCCCCTGTTCGAGATCGACCAGCTTTTACATTCGCTGTATTTCTTCGATAGTGAGTTTAAAGATGTGAGTGTACTAGCTCCTAGTAAAGTATTTAGTTTTAGAAGCCAATCCTCTTCAGATAAAATGTTATACTATGTTACCGGTTTTAAAGGTTTACTCAATATTGGCTCCTTAAACCTAACCTCCAAATGGCACAAATGACAACATGACAATGTTATTATATGAGCAACTATTTGTTGTCACATTCGTGAAGTCGAACTAAAGTTATATACTGATGTCTGTGCCATTTTGAGGTTAGCTTTCAGAAGCTAATATTGTGTAAAACACTCGACTTATGCGTATATTTAACAAAATAGAGCGGTAACGAAACATAACTATTTTATCCGGAGAATTGGCCCTTAACATTTAAAAACATGTAGTATTTAAAAC